GTGGGCCTAGCCTTCAAAGCCCTTCATAACCTAAGCCCCTTCCACCTTTCCAGTCCCCCAACACCTTGATCCCTGGCTCTTTTTCTTCAATCCAGTGACGCTGGCCTCCTGATTCAACAAATAAGACATTCCATTTCTCCCTTCTGGGTATTTTCTTTAGTTGTCCCCTATGTCTGATATATGCTGTCCCTCCTAATCTCCACCTGCTGGCTTCCCTGGCTTCCTTTAAGTCCTAACTCAATCCTACCTTCTACAGAAAGCCTTTCCCAGCTCCTCTTAATTCTAGTGCCTTCCCTGCCATAATTAATTGTTTCCTAATTATATATGTTTATATATGTGTGTGTGTGTGTGTGTATAGTTATAGCTTATTGGTACCTATTTGTCTGCTTATTCTCTCCCTCATTAGACTATAAGTTCCTTGAGGGCAGGGACTATCTTTTGTCTCTTTTATATCTCCAGCACTTAGCACAGTGCCTGGCACATGGGAAGCATTTAACAAATACTTGTTAACTGAGTGTGCATTGGTAGAGAGAGGTTCCTTACTGCAAGCCCCCACACATCAGTGAAATCATAAGTCTAAATTTGGGGGGGGGAGACTTAGAGAGCATTTTATTTAAAACAAAAAATTGGAAAATTGGAAAAAATTTCTAAGCAAAAAAATGTTAGTTACTTTTATAGGTCCAATTCTGATGACAAAGTTTTGTCCAAGTACTTTAGAGAAACAGGTCAGCTAAAAGATAGTCAACATCTACCTTAAGTCTCTATGTACGCTTTAATTCTGCCTCCATTGTCTTCTATTGAAATCCTAAGGACATTGGCTTAATGTCTCAAGGATTATAGTGAAATGGAGCTTAATCGCCATAAATTATAGGATTATTGTTCACATTTCCTATCTCTTTCACAATCATGGTCAAATGCAATGTTGATTCTGCTAAGTGGTGTGGTGAATTATTCATTGACATTGGCATTGTGCTTTTCCTTGGACCTCCTCCAGGGTACCACACAGGGTCTATGTACCACCATGGAGGTTCCGAAGTGAGGTGGTAAGGAGGGTCCCAGTCCCTTGTACTCTCTCCCAGCCTGGGTAGCTTTGCCTTCTTCTGTGTGGTCCTCATGTTCCTGCTCTATGCACCTATGTTTGGCTTCTAGGACCCAGAAGCCTAAACATCCCCAAACCTCACATACCTATTTATGACAATTCCTTCTCCTACTAACTTCCCCATTCAAAAAAATTTGCCGTGGGTTCTTGGCTCAGCTACCCCTCTTCCTCTTCCATCTGACCAATGATGCCTTCTATCAAAGCTATACCTCTTCCCTTTTTAATACATGTATACAATGACCTCAGAAGACTCACACTACCCCATCCCCTATACCCTGGGCCCTTAGCATCTGTTCTCATTCCCACAGGCCCTCATGGTGGGTCATAGGTCCAGTTTTTAAAAATGTGCATGGGTCATTGCACTAAGCTCTGGAGTACAAGGAGTACAGGACACAGGACTTATCCTGTTCTAGCTGGAGAGACAGAACATAAACACAAAAATATTACTGAGGTTACAAGAAAAGCTGGGCTAAGAGCCATGAGAATCATAGAGAAGATGAGTTCTAAGGGAGTTAAAAGGAAGGAAGTGCCCTCTGAGCATTGGGATGGGCAGGGGAAGGTTTCAGGGAGACCTGAAGCTTTCAATTTTGGAGTCAGAGGACCTGAAGAGCAAACAAGCAATTAATATGTACATATGTGTATATATATGAGAAATATGTAATACAGAAGAATATGGTAGAGACTTAAGTTTCCTCACCTGTAAAAAATGAGAGTATTGGACAGAACGGTTGGTGACCATGGGCATCACCAAACATCTCTGTGTTTCTATTTTGCCTTTCATAAAACAAATGGGTTAGATAAAAGCTGTCAAATATACCTCCAGTTCATCCACAAGATTCCAGAGTTGGGCTAAACCGGATTAAAATGGAATTGGGAAATATTTAACAAAATAAATAAAAATAGAGTAAATCACAGATAATGTTAATATGTGGTTTTCTAAGTCAATATGCAGCAGCCTTCAGGGATCCTTGCGTATGGTTTAGCAGCCCCAAGTTTCCATTGAGTTTGACACCACTGGGTTAGATCATTAGATTGTCTAGTTTCTAAGATGCTTAAGGATCATAGATTTAGAGCTGGAATTTACCCTACAGACCATATAGCCCAACCCCCTCATTTTACAAATGAAGAAACTGAGGCCCATAAAGGTAAAGTGACTTGCCCAAGGTCACTCAGGTGGTATCAGAGCCAGGATTTGAACCCAGGTTCTCTGACTCTAGCATTCTATACCTATTTTTCCTACTTTGTAATTCTGCATGTTTTTCTTTTAAAAACATGTTCATGTGTAATAAGAAGCCTTAGATGTTATCTTAGGTCCCTAAATCCCATGATCTCCCATTCCTTAGATAGCAAAAAGAAAAGGCCCCCATGCAAATAATGAATGGGTCTTCTTTGCTGCTTGTTTCCGCTTTGTTTTTCTGTCATCCTTCGAGGTCCCACAGGGAACCCTTACTCCCTCCTTTGTTCTCCAGTTCAAAGGAGTAGTTTGTCCTCTGCAGGGTATGTATGTTCAGAAAAGATGGGATACAGTTGACCACAAGAATGGTCTGTAAAAGAACCTTTACAGAAAGCAGAATCGTTAGGACAGCCCACCTTTTGTAGATAGATGTAAATAAGATGTTAATCACAGAGCAATTTGGAACTATGGCCAAAGGGCTGTAAAACTGTGCATACCCTTTGACCCAACAATAGCACTTCTAGGGCTGTATCTCAAAGAGATCATACAAATGGGAAAAGGACCCACATGTACAAAAATATTTATAGCAGCTCTTTTTGTGGTGGCAAAGAATTGGAAATTGAGGGATGCCCATATTGGGGAATGGCTGAACAAGTTGTGATACATGGATGTAATGGAATACTATTGTGCTATAAGAAATGATGAGCAAGCGGACTTCAGAAAAACCTGGAAGGACTTGTATGGAATGATGCTAAGTGAAGTGAGCAGAACCAGGAGAACATTGTACACAAAACAGCAACATTGTGCAATGATCAACTCTGATAGACTTAACTCTTCTCAGTAATACAAGGATCTAAGACAATTTCAAAAGACTCAAGATGGAAAATGCTATCCACATACAGAGAAAGAACTATGGAGTCTGAATGCAGATCAAAGTATATTATTTTCTCTCTCTTTTTTTCTTTCTCATGGTTTTTCCCTTTTGTTCTGATTCTTCTTTTACAATATGAATAATGTGAAAATATGTTTAATATGATTGTACATGCATAGCCTATATCAGATTGCATGCCATCTTGGGGAGGGGGACAGGGAAGAAGGGAGAAAAAAATTAGAACTCAAAATCTCGCAAAAGTGAATGTTGAAAGTTATCTTTACATGTAATTGGAAAAAATAAAATATTAATATGTGTGGGGGGAAGAGATGTTACTCATGGAAAAGTACCAAAGAAACTAGTAGAACAAATGCTGAGAATCAGAGCGCCTGACTTGGCATCAGAAAGAGCCAAGCTAAAATCCTCCCTCAGACGCTCACTAGCTGTATGATCCTGGACAAGTTGATTGCTCACTCTCAACCTCAGTTCCTCATCTGTAAAATGGGAATAATAATAGTGCTGACACCACAGTGTTGTCGTGAAGTTCAAATGAGATAATCTACATAAAGTCTGTTACATTCCTTTAAGTACTATATAAATGCTGTTATTATTATTATAGACTAAAGTCAGAAAAACTTGAGTTCTTAGTCTGATTTTACAACTCCCTGCCTCCATGACCCGAGGCAAGTCATTTCATGGATCAATAAAAGATAAAGTATTTGTGTAGTACTTTTTTTTGCTTTTAATAATATTTTATTTCCCCCAATTACATGTACAATTTTTAACATTCATTTTCCTTAAATTTTGAGTTCCAAATTCTATCCTTCCCTCCCTTCTTCCCTTCCCCCTCCCTGAGACAGTAAGCAATCTGATATAGGTTATACATGCGCAATCACATAAAACATTTCCACATTAGTCATTTTGCTCAAGAAGATTTGAATAAAAAAAGAAAAAGAAAGAAAGAAAGTGGAAAAATAGTATGCTTCAGTCTGTATTCAGACAACATGAGTTCTTTCTCTGGAGGTGGATAGCATTTTTCACCATAAGTCCCTTGGGATTGTCTTGGATCATTGTATTGCTGAGAATAACGAAGTCATTCACAGCTGATCATTATATGATCCTGCTGTTACTGCGTACAATGTTTTCCTTGCTCTGCTCATTTCATTTTGTATCAGTTCATGTTAGTCTTTCCCAATATTTGTTAAGTTCTTACCATGTGCTGAGCACAGTGCTAAACACTGGGGATACAAAGACAAAAGCAAAAACAGCTCCTGCCCTCAAGAAGCTTATATTCTAATAGAAGAAAACAACATGGATAGAGAAGCAGTAGCCAGGGAGGGGTGTTTTGGTTTGGGAAATCACAGGGATGGTGAGTAGCCTCATAGGTCGATAGATATTCTCTTTCCAGGAATGACAGATCGTTGATTTGATTAGTGTTTGCAAAGCTAAATGTGGACCTGAGAGCAGAGGGGAGGGGAGGTGGCCTAGCAGGAAGATAGGTGTGGTGTAGTGGAACTGGGCATAAAGCTGAGACCATATGGTGAATCCTCACCAATCAGGTGAGTGGGAGATAGAGGTAAAGATCCAGATCAGAGGGGAAGGGTAGAATAGCAAGCAATGTCAATAGTGGAAGCAACAGGACAGCATGGCTTGATGATAGCTGGGGTACCAGCATGGTTGGGTAAACCCTCACCATTCTGGGCCTCAGTTTCCTCTTCTGTAAAATGGGACAGTTGGAGTAGATGATCTCCTAGACATCTTCTTGATGTCACATTCTACATTCTTTATAATATTAAGCAATTAATTAATTAATTAAAGCAATTAAGTCTTGACCTCCCCTTTTCTTCCAATCCTAGGCATCCCTGGACCTCCAGGACCAAGAGGACTCAAAGGCGATGTGGGCGCAAAGGGACCCTATGGAAGCAGGGGTCCCAAAGGAGACAATGGTACTATGGGCCCCCCTGGCCCCCAAGGCCCTCAGGGTCAGCCTGGTAAAGCAGGGCCAGCAGGTGAAAGGGGACCCAGTGGCCTCAAAGGTTTCCCAGGCCTTAAAGGATCTAAAGGCAGCTTTGGATCAGCAGGACTAAAAGGACAGCCAGGCCCCAAGGGTGATATGGGACTCCAGGGGCCAGAGGGACCCCCAGGTTCTCCAGGTCCACCAGGACCCCAGGGCAAGCCAGGGATTGCCGGAAAGACAGGGTCACCAGGTCAGGTTGGGCCCATGGGTCCAAAGGGTGAGCCTGGCATACAGGGTCCCCCTGGTCTTCCGGGGCCTCCAGGGCTACCAGGAAACCAGAGCCCCTACTGAACAAAGTCCACTTCCTAGAAATGCTGCCACACAAAAGTTCTGGGGAAAGGGACTGCCCAAAGCAGCCCAGGGGCCTGTCAAGGAAGAAGCATCTCCCCAAAGACAACTGCGCCTCCTTCATCTCCACTAGGATTCCTCCTGGATCTGACCTGTCCATTTCCAGCTTTCAAAGGACTTCTGCTTGCTGCTTTGACTAGAACCAATAGGGATCCTGGAACCCTACCTATCCTTGTCCCCAAAGGCTGCTGCCATAGTCCCCAATCCTAAATTAATGGGACTAAACTTTTTAGTTCTTAGGGGGAAGATGGCAATGGGGATGATGATTATGGTGGTAGTGGTGGTTGTGGCGGTCATGATCATGGTGATGATTGTGGTGGTGATTGATGATAAAGAAGCAGCAACATCTTCTTACTATTCTTCTTTCTCATAAAGCCGTCTCCACTGAACAGGGGTCTAACTGGACTAGACTTGGGAGGGTGAAAGTGCAGGCCATGAGGAGGGCAGACGGGTCTGGGGGTGCCCACACCGATGGGAATTGAGCAAATTACCACGTGGGAGTTAGTGCATGAATCTGGTAGTGACCGCCCAGGAGAGGGTGTGGAACCAGTATCATTACTGGTATAGCAAATATTCTCTCTTATTCCCCCATCATATCCAATATGGCTAGGACCAACTACATACTAGATGTGTTGAGGAAGGAAGAGACAAAAAGGAACTTCCTGCTTATGGAAACCATTAGGGAGGAGGTCTATTTGATCATCAAAAATGCTTCTTGCTTTGGACTGTGCCATATTGGAGGTGACTCAGAAACCTTTACAGGAATGACTTCAGAGAGAAATGCTCTTCCTGATTGGAGTAGAAAGAAATGGCCGTGCTATCCTCAGGGCCCTGTCTCTGGTTTCAACTGAAAGCAAGGGGCCTTTTTAAAAGACCCCTTACCTCCCGGCCTCCTCTTGGGGCATGGAGCAGCCCAGTGGCAACTGATGTGGAAGAGTGTCTTCACTTTAGAGAGAAAATGCAGCAATTGAAAGTATACCCTAAAGTTTGGTTTTGGGGCTAGAACTGTAATTTTATTGGTGCAGGAAACTCCCCACGACACAACTTCCTTCACTAACACAGATCAGCACCTGCTCTGCATCTTCTAGTTTCTGAAAACTGCTTAAAATACATTGGCAAAAATGTGTGGAGAAGGCCACTGATGTTGGGATGAGGTAGAGACAGCAAACTGAAGAGGACGGGCTTGGTTAAACATGCTCATGTTTGGGTGCTTTGGGAAGATAGCTCTTCATTCAGAGAGTCCCCACCCCCAAGACACACACACACACACACACACACACACACACACACACACACACGCACACGCACGCACACGCACACACACAAACCTCATGCCTAACCCTGAGGTTAGCCCTCTCTGCTCCCTGAATGAGAGCTCATTGTCACGGTGGATGTCCCAGGCAGCAGCAGATACTTCCTGCTAACCAGAGCCCTGCTTCCACCACACCAGGTCCAACTGGCTGTAGCACACACTGAACAGCTGCTCATCCTGTACACATATTTACAGTGATCCCACAAGTCGTGCCTTTCTGCTCCCTGATCCAGGACTAAAAATTGCCCCTGGCCAATCCAGTGAAGAGGGACAAGATCACACTAGTAGTGGGCAGGACTCACCAATAAAATCAAGGGCAGGGCCCTCAAGTGACTACAGTGTTTGACCCTCTTGTTTCCCAAGGAGATACCGACTATCTCTCTACTTCCACCACCCTCTGCTTCCAGGAGGCACTGCTGGAGGGAAGTATCAAGAAATTCCTTGTAAAAGCATCGAGATCCCCAAAGCTATGGCCCTCTCTGGGCTGTGGGAAGCACCGAAGCCACTTTCCTCATATTTCTGCAGAATCACAATCCCAGGCTGGGGCCTGAAGTGGCATCTTAATGTCATGGTCTTTGTTCCAATTCATATGCAGCTGGTTTGCATATTCCCCCGTTGCTGCTGTATAACCCTCGTATCCACCTATATCACACAACCTTGTATTACTGGATCAATAAAGAGATACCTACCTGAGGGAGATGGGCTTCCTGACCTTTCTTCCAAGGAGGTGCCATTTTGGTGGAATATAGAGGAATCCCCCACAGATACATGTATCCCACATAGAGTATCCATGTGTAGACCTCTCTTCCAGGGAGGTGCTACTCTGGTGAAACATGGAGAAATCACCCCCAGAGACATCCAGCTCCGTATAGAGTCTTCATATCTGTACCTCTCTTCCATAGAGGTGCTGCTCTGATAGAACATAAGAGGAATCAGTCCAAGATAGGTCCATCCCATATGTAGTCTCTGTTTCTAGACACTCTGGTCCATCCATCAGTCAGCAATCATTTACTGAGTGGCTCCTTTATGAATAGCATGGTGCTTGACCAGGGGGTTAGGAAGGTAGAGGATGCAGTCCTTGTCTGGGAGGTCTTTATGGCCTAGTTTTGGGGGTGGGCAGTAGAAGATAAAGCAGGAGAGAACATATACATAAAAAGATACCTAAAGATAAAAAGAAAACAATAACAATAATTGCATTTATATAGCACTTCAAGCAAGTTTTGCAAAGTGCTTTACACAAGCTATCTCATATTACTTAAAATGTGGCCAAGTTCCAATTGAGCAGTATGGGCAATAATTTCCAGAAGATCATAAATTTAGAACTAGAGTGACTTTAGAGTGTATGCTATCTATCCTCTCCATTTTGCAGATGAAGAAACTCACACTCAGGAGGGTTAAGTGACCTGCCTGTGGTCATATACAGGCATACCTCAGAGACATTGCAGGTTCATTTCCAGACCACCACAATAAAACAAATATTGCAATAAAGCAAGTCACATGAATTTTTTTGTTTCCCAGTGAATATAAAAGTTATGTTTCCAATATACGGTATCATATTAAGTGTGCAATAGTATTATGTCTTTTTAAAAAAAACAATGTACATACCTTAATTAAAAAGTACTTTATTGCTGAAAAATGCTAACCATCATCTGAGCCTTCAGTGAATCGTAATCTTTTTACTTATGGAAGATCTTGCCTCGATGTTAATGGCTGCTGACTGATCAGGGTGGTGGCTGCTGAAGGCTAGGGTTGCTATGGCAATTTCTTAAAATAAGACAACAATGAAGTTTGCCACATTGATTGACTCTTCTTTTCATGAAAGATTTCTCTGTAGCCTGTGATGCTGTTTGAAAGCATTTTACCCACAGTAGAACTTCTTTCAAAATTCTAGGGGCAGTTAGGTGGCACAGTGGATACAGCACCAGCCCTGGAGTCAGGAGGACCTGAGTTCAAATCCAGCCTCAGACACATAACACTCATTAGCTATGTGACTACGGGCAAGTCACAACCCTAATTGCCTCACTGAAAGGAAAGAAAAAAGAAAAAAAATTCTTTAAAAAAATCCTCTCAAACCTTGCCACTGCTTTATCAACTAAGATTATGTAACCTTCTTCAATATTGTTATGTCTCAAGGAACAGGGAGGTTCAAGAAGAGGGAGACAGATGGGGGAATGTTCTGCCTGGTCCATGGAGTAGTCAGAACACACACAGCATTTATCGACTAAGTTCACTGTCTTACATGGGCATGGTTTGTGGCGCCCCAAAACAATTACAATAGTAACATCAAAGATCACTGATCACAGGTCATCATAATAGATATAATAATAATGAAAAAGTTTGAAATATTGTGAGAATTATCAAAATGTGACACAGAGACACAGTGTGAGCACTTGCTGTTGGAAAAATGGTACTGATATACAAATGCAGTATCTTTGAAGCACAATAAAATGAGGTAAGCCTGTAGGTAATTAACAGAAGAGTCAGGGTTTGAATTCAAATTCTCTTCAAATCTAACGCTAATTTCACTGCAACACTAGTTCCCTGACCACAGAAAGGAGAGAAGATAGCAAGCTGGGGTAGTAAGAGAAGGCTTTATAGAGAAGGTGGGCCTCCACCTGGGATATGAAGAACCAAAGATTCAGAGGAGCAGAGGAAGGGAAAATACACTCCGATGGCAAACTCTAGCCACCTACCCACCCCTGCCCCAAACAAAGAAACCCTTCACAGCCCATGTTCCCTCCTCTGATGTAACCTCTAGGTTGACTTCCATGACCCTGTTATTGCAATGATCCTCATTGTTTGACTCAACTCAACAGGCTTTTACTCCACATCAGACCCTGTGCCAAGTGCTGGAACTATAAAGACAAAACCAAAATGATCTCAGCCCTCAAGAAGTTTACATTATACAATGAATCCTTATTGAAAGAGCATAGACTTAGAGCTGGAAAATCATCCAGTCCAACCATTTCATTTTACATATGAGGACACTGAGGACCTAGACGAAGGTCACACACAATGCAAGCAGCAGAGTCAGGATTAGAAGGAACATTCTCTAACATCAAATCCAACGCTCTCTATCTACAGCCAAGTTCCAGAGCAGGAATACACCCCAACCACGTAGAATTGGAACAGGGTGAGATGACACTTCAGAGTTACTCTGGTCCCCAACAGCATTCTCTTCCCTATGAGGACCATCAGCTTCATGAAAGCATGTCCTCCTTGCTTTCTACCTCCTGAAGTGCTTAATACAGGCCTTGGACCAGGGAGGTGTGAAATAAATTTGCAGATTGGAATTCAGACCACATGTTATCTCCAGATTGTGGAGAGAGCTGAGTAAGTAGGGAAATTATTCCTATTTTCCCATGTGGCACTTCAACTCTTCTCCTAGATTCCTATGACTTTGCCAAAAGTAGTAGCATCAATAGACCAACTGGGAGGTTAGTCAGTAGACAAAAATTCAAACCAGACATCAGGTCTAGAGTAAGGATCCTTCTCAGGAAGCTAGGTGGTACAGTGGATAGAGTGCTAAAGTCAAGAAGACTTGTGTTCAAATCCAGCCTTAGACACTTACTAGCTGTGTGACCCTGGACAAATCACTTAACCACGTTTGCCTCAGTTTCCTCATCTATAAAATGAGATGGTTGGTCTCAATGGCCTCAAAGTTCCTTCCAGATCTAAATCTATGATGCCATGACTTGTCAAGTGGTGAGACAGTTTCTGGAATTTAGGCTTTTAGGTTTAAAGCTGAATGGGATGTTAGAAATCATTTGGTCCATTCCTCTTATTTTCCAAAGGAGGAAACTGAGGCCAGAGTGATTCAGTGACCTGCCTAAGGTAACACAAGAGGCAGAGTCAGGATTTGAATCCAGGGTCTCTGAGTTCAGATACAGCAGTCTTTTTGCTGTACTATAAATCTACACCCTGGAAAAAATGGGATTGGGAGTCCTGGAGGGTGGGGGGAGGGATGCTGCTTTGGGAATATTCCTGAAGGCCATCCTTTAATTGCCCTTACCATCCCAGTCTTCTCCATTTCAGCTCT